GGTTCATAATATTCCCTGTGATGCTGTTCTGTTGAATAATGTAACCTGATATAAACGTCAGCAGTCCAAGTTGATATCAGTATTTCAGGTGTTTGAGCCTGGATTCGAGAAGTTTCCTCTGTCCTGGTCAGTTGGCTTCTCTGTGAAATGGGAGCCCCGGTCAGAGAGATGCTGAGTGTCCTGTTTGTGACTGCATTACCTAACTCCTAAGCAAGGAGTTGACCTCTACTCATCTCCTTTCTGCTGTAGTTGCATAGGATCTTGGTGGGACAGGGCCAGGACAGCAAACTGGCTGTGAAGCACAGAGAAATGAGCCTTTGGAAACATCCTGCTCCACATAGCAGCCCTGGGAAACTGTCCTGTTGGCTGGGGTCAGTTTTTCTTGGATTCCTTGAGGAAGTTCCCTTGCCAGCTCCACCAGCATTATTTTTCTGCTAAGTCACCTGGTAACTTCTGCTGTTTGAAAAACAAAATTACTGTTTTTATCATACCTTCGGCCTCCAGATCTCAAAGCATTTCACAAGCATTGAGCGAAACCGCACAACGCTCTTGGCAGGCAGGGAAATACCATGATCCCCACTGGCCTGTGTGTTCATTTCCCTGTTTGGTGATGGGCAGATGAAGCTGTACAGTTTTCTGGGATTGTTCCTATCCGTGTATAAGTTGATTCTGCTCCATCTTTATGTTTAATCCCACAAAGAGTGAAATAAAACTGTTGTATTACTAACCCTGCTTCTTTTGGGATAGGATGTCCTGGTTCAGCTTTCACATACTGTGGGTAGGTGCAGACAGATGAAACAGTAGCAGCAGATTCAGCTGATGCCTGCATGGTTAACCCCTCCACCCCCCGCTTAACTATTCAGCGGTGGAATCTGAAATGATTTGCTCGAGGTCATACAGCAGCTATGTCTCTGTTGTGCAGTGAAGTGTCAAGGGAGCTAAGTTAGCAATAAAAGAGTTACCAGAAGAAATCTAGATGTGTTGGCTCAGGGCTCCATGCTTCCAGTCTTCAAGCCAGGCCAGGTATCTCTATACTGCACTGTATTGTGCTGTGTAGACATACCTGGTAGGGCGGTGGCAGAAGTGGGAGGGAACCAGGAATTCAAACTTCAGTTCCATGTTCTAACTATTCCCTTGCAGAGATTTCGCTAATCACTTGGGGCTTCACCCTATCTCTTGCAGACAGACTTCTCATTGACTGTATGGGTCCGTGTAATGGGTGATCTGGTGCTCTTGCTGGTCCCAGGGGATCCTCTCTGCCCTCTCCTTGCTCTGCAAGGTGGTGGGAGGAGATCCTACCTGCTGGAGTTTGAAACGCTTTCAGAAGTGGAAGGCCAAGTCCCTGCATGCACCACCTGAGGCTGTGTCTTATCCTTGTCCAGAATCCTAGTCAAATGAGCTCTTCCGTTTCCAGGAAGTTGCTGTTCTCACTGCACAGTAATCCGGGCAGGGTAGGCCCTTAATGCTTAAAAGTACTCATTGTGATAGGATCTTCCTGGCTGGTCATGCCAACTGTGACCTCCAGCCGAGGGGTGCCACTTTTCAGCCCCTGTATTTTCATAGTGTCTCCTGCCCTCAAGGTCTGCATCCATAAATCAGCCATGAGAAGTGAGCAGATTATAAAGCAGTCACTGCACAGTCAAGAGGTAAATTGCTGCTGATCAGGACCAAATGTAATGCAAAGTGCACCTGATGAGGGCAGACCCCTTGTCCTTCAGCACTTGTCTGTAGGGCACACCTGCATCTACCGCAACCCCAGCATGCAGGCAGGGTGCCACACTACTGCATAATCTGCATCACCAGGGACCAAAAAGGGGTAGAGCCTCAGTTAACTGTCCACTAAAGCCTCTCTCTCACGGTTAAGGTTGGTGAAATTCATTTCAGTTCAACTAGGAGCAATTTCAGTTTAAGGAGTTGTAATCTCTAATATTCTCTAATAAATGACAATGTTAAATTCTGTCCCCCATCTGTACTGGTGTCCTGGTGGGTCCCAAGGATACACTTCCTCAGACTCTTCATAAGATAATTTCAGAGCACTGGAATGAAATCAGACAGGCAGACTAAATAAGGTGGTTTTCAGGCTTGGGAAGGAGACAAGCACGGAAATACTATATTCTAGTACCAGGGTATGCTGGTCATCATTACCATATGGCATAGCGCACTGGTGACGAAGACCAACACTCATTGAATGACAGACCAAGACCACCAAACTCACCCTATTTGTTAAGTAACTCATCTCTGCAGACGCTTGGGTGGCTGAAGTGCAGGGGTCTGGTTCTGACCCGGTGATCTGATTTAAACATATCTCTTACTGATTTGTGTGTTTGCTTTTTCCAGTGTGTGGCTGTGACCTGGCACAGGGAGGCTTTTTCATTAAGAACGGGGAGTACCTCTGCACGTTGGATTACCAGCGCATGTATGGAACCCGCTGCAACGGCTGCGGTGAATTTGTTGAAGGAGAAGTAGTGACAGCTCTGGGCAAAACCTACCATCCGAATTGCTTTGCCTGTACTATTTGCAAGTAAGTTGGCCCTTTCAGCTTCTGTGGCTTTAACCCCAACACAAGAGAGAGGGAGAGCTGCATCATCATTGGACACAACTCTAAAAGTTCTCCATTAAAAGGTGTTAGGTTGGGAATATTTTTCTGTGGCCTGACCTTGTGGGACTCATAACACCATTCATTTATCTAGGAAGCATCTACTAGCAAAGCGATTCTGTTTGGTATCATCCTCTGTACCCACTCACAAATGCTGTTCTCATCCAGAAGGGAATTTAATATTGGGCTTTACATGCTGAAGCAAGGGTCATGTTACACAGAGCATATGGGTTTTTTAAGCAACCATGCTCAGAACTAGCAGCTTTTCAGTACCCCATTTTAGATCTGGGAAAGTTGTAGCAATAGTTAACTTCTTGGGCCCAATCTAGCCTACTGATTTGTAAGTTCTAGAGACTCCTTTGCAGCTCTGTAGCTCAAACTGTAGCAGCTCATGCTTCTCACTGGAAATCAGTGGCTCCATCCTTTGTGTGTTGGCCAGGTGCTGGTTTTCACATCTACAAAGGAGCTATCTCCTGGTCAAGGCCCCTGGCTCCCAATCCTATTCCAATGTACCTTGTCTTTTCTTTCATCTCTGCTATACTCACCAGTGTCCAGTAGTTCCCAGGGCTGGCAGACCCTTAAGGACAACCATAATTCTTTTCATATTAATCTATAGCAGTTCCTGCATGAGTCCTATTTCTCATGTCCATATGTGTCTGTAGGACTGAGGTGTTATCCTTTGGCTGGGAAATATTTTTGCATGTTCTTATGTGAAAATTTTAATCAGTTTCTGTCAAAGAAGCATTCTTTATGGTGTTTAAGAAATTAAACAAAGTGCTGGTGCGTTGTGCTTTTCTTTAAACCTATGCAAGGCACAGGAAAGAAAGAAAGAAAGAGAAGGAGGAACTTCCCAGTCTTCTGGATTCTTTCATATAATCAAGCAACCTGATATGCAAAGGTCACAATGATTTTATCCTAGTTACTAGAAGAATATGATAAAAGAAGGGACAAACCTGTGACAACAGAAGTAGCATCTTCTGAAACAGAAATGTACCAGATAGAGAATAACATTTCATTGCAGTTGCTCGCACTGTAGGATCATCCTACACATGTCTATATGTCACAATGCAGTACCACGTGGCCATACCCGAGCTAGCTCTGAACATGCTAACATGGGTAATGGAAGTGATGTTGCTGTGCTAGCACAGTGTACTGTAGTGATCTGTCCTCATCTGTCTCAGACATTTAGTGTTCTGTGTTTGTCTTCTCACGGAGTTAGAGAAGATCCCTACGGTTTGATGGCTAGACAGTTGGTCTGCTGTGACTACTGCTTACTATATTGATCATAATTCTCACTTTCACCTTCTGCTTGCCCTTGCTGTTGTATCCATCTTTTGTCTCTTGCCCTATGTCCCTTCCAGTCTTTCTTCCTATGGGTATGTGTAGACAAAACGGGGGCCCTAAACTGAAGCAGTGGGTTTTTAAAAACACCGCTTCACTTTAGGTCCCTTTAAACCCCTGTGTCATGCACACACTGACTTACCTGCCTCTCTGGTGGTGGGGAGGGGAGGGTGAGCTGCCGTCAGGTGGAGCCGTCCCTGGGCTGCTATGAGGAGAGGGGCTGGTGCTTCCCTCTGTGTCAGCGGCCGCAGAGGGAAGCACCAGGCCCCCACGCAGCTTAGGCAGGCAGGCTTCAGGGGAAAAACCAGAAAACATCAGGCTTGCTGCTTTTCTTGGGTGGAGCCTGCCTTCCCAGGCTGCTGCCAGGCTGCCTGCATGGGCTTTCTGCAGAGCCCAAGTTGCATGGAGCCCAGTGCTTCGCTTCGCAGCTGTAGGGGCAGCAAACTAAAAGTCCTCAGAGGAGTTTTAGTTTGTTACGCCCGAAGTCATTATGCTGCCAAATTTCCTACAGCAGCTGGAATTAATGCGCAACATGCTGCCAAGGTGTGCAAACGCTGACACCATTAAAGCGGTGCAAAAGCATTTAGCTGGCTTTAAAGTGTCGTGCACACATACCCGTCGTTTCGTCTACACACGACCTATGATTCTGTGATTGTGTGCTTTATACTAGAAGTTCTTTGGAGCATGAATACTTTTTTCATTATACAGTGGCCTTTCTAAGATAGACCCTGTAAAAGCCAGAAGCCTGTTCAAGTCAAAAAATGTCTACAGTCCTGGAATGCCTAATTGGGAACTACATATATTCAGTCTGTGTAAGTGGGAAATCCTAATGTGGAAATGGAAAGGAAATTTGGTAGGTTTCCTACTTTTACAGGTTCCCTCTTAGGTTTCACTGTGCTGCTCGGCTTTCTGCAGCTGCCCCTTCTCACTGATGCTGCCCTGTCCCTGTTGCTGCTGTGACTACTGGCTGATCATGGCCACGGACACCCCCACTTTAATAAACTTCTGTCCCCGCTTGCGGGGAGCTCCCTCACCCTTGCTGCCTAACTGAGGCTGTCCTTGGCCATTGTGCGAGACAGGGAGCAGGTCTGATGCTCTATTCCTGGTGGCTCCATGGCCAAAACACTGGCTCTTGCTGATGTTGTAGTTGTGAGGACAGGACTTCTTGCCCGAGCTGTCAGAACAGATGAGAGCCCACATGGTAGCAGCCCAGGTATCAGTGCATGGCCCTGGGCCCACCGCAAGAGCACTGGGCTGAAGCAGCAGTACAGTCAGCACAGCTGAAGCTGAAGCATCGCTGGCTGTGCCACCCTGACAGACTTGCTCTGCCCAATCCCACCAGTCAGCTGGTTGGTGCTGATTTGTGAAGTAGTTGTGAGCAGTTCCGAGTGGGCTGGGTTGCAGAAAGCGTGCAGCAGGAAATGAAAACTACTCCATTTTTAGAAGACTTGGAGTTTCAGGAATTTGGGGCTGGTTTTACTGAGCTGAGTGCTAGTAATGGTGCTGGATCTCAGCCTTGAAGGCAGAAATTTTGCATTAATCCACTAAATGAGTACAGCCAGGCTCAGCAGCAGTACAGGTATCTATTGTGCTGTACCACCTTACATTGGGGATGCCAGGAAATGCCAGTCTCGATAGCCTGTTAACTTCTCCACCAGCAGCATCAGCAAAGGTGCCAATTATGGGTTTGTAGTGTGGATATCTGCTCAGAGTTCTAGCAGTAGGAACATGGCTGTTTCTGTGGGCAACTCCACCAATCTCGATATAATTATCTCTGCTTGTGAACTGAACAGCTCTTTGGGTATGTCTGGATGGCATAATGCAATGTTATGCCAAAATACCAGAGATAGCTTAGGTACTAGAAGCAGAGCAGCTGCTTTACTACAAGGGGGTGGGATGCCCAGATCTCACAGCAAGGCTGCTTCTGGTACTTGAGCTAGCTCTGCATTAGTTGTATTGTGCCGTGTAGTCATACCCTATATTTCTGGACCAACCCTATGAACTGTCTCCCTTTTTCTGTCTTTTCATGCTGCTGGGGGTCATCATTGTCATGTTGCCACTACCCTTGCAGGATCTGTTGAGTCTAAGCGAACTCTACTGTCTGCTTCTCCATAGATGCTATGCATTTTGATAGCTTCTGGAAACCAACAGTACAGTCAGTCTAACTTCCGCTTTTCTTGTGATTGTGGAGCATTTATCCTTTGGACTTCCTCCAGCTGCCTGGCTTTATCAAGGCCACATTTCAGACATAGTTTGGCCTGGGGTTCTGTAAGATACTGATTGTACCCGGAGGAAGGCAGCAGACTGAAGACACAAGGCCGAGTATAAAACTGCGAGGATAGCCTTGGCTTAAACTAATTTTTCTCTTTCACATTCCAGGCGCCCATTTCCACCAGGAGACCGAGTTACCTTTAATGGAAGGGACTGTCTCTGTCAAATGTGTGCTCAACCAATGTCATTCAGTCCGAAAGAGGTGTCCAGCACCAGCAGTAAGTGTTCCATTATCTTTTCTAAGGTTCTCAATGTCCAGGGTCCTTGATAGTTTGAAATGTGTTTTAGTTTTTAAGAAAGGTCTGTAAATTAATTGTGGGTTCTGTGAGTGGCAAAAGCATATACTTATAATCACAGAATCATAGCAAAGTAGGGTTGGAAGGGACCTCAGGAGGTCATTTAGTCCAGCCCCCAATCCCGAATAAGTAACTACAATCTCTGTCTGAAGATATTTTGAAAGAAAAAGTCGATGTTCCTTTACAGGCACATATTCTGTTTGAGGAAATAGGTGGTTTTGGAGTAAGTAGGCCCTAGACTTCTTCCTGTGTGATTGCACAGGTTTATTTAAATTAAAAAGGGCTACATCAGGGGAAATTAATTCTGGTTTCTAATCCACAACATTTTAACTTAATTACATTATCCTTTAAGTATAGTGCCACCAGAATTGTCTGAATAGTACCTCTAGTGCAGGCTATTACAGTGACTGAAATCTCTGGTGATGTTTAAAAAAAAAACAGAGAGAGAAAAGAAGAAACGCAAAGGGCTTGGCTGGGAAATGAATGTGGTTTGCTGCTGCATTTTAACGCTTTTAAAATCAAATATGAAAATCGTCTATCAGCAGTTTGTTATAAGATGACACCGATTGATTTTTACCTCTGGGAGTCATAGGAGTTATGGACAGAAAAGTCTCTTAGACCCTCAGGTTCTTCCTGTTGATAATGCAGAGATGTTTCTGAAGCGTGTTTGCTTTGGTTGCCTTAGTCTTGTTTTTGATCTTTCTTCATTTCTCTAGAGGTCTTGCCTTTCCTACTGGTGTTGGACCATCTGTGTGTTATGGGGAAGAATGGTGCTTGCTTTGCAATCCTAGCTGTTCTGTAAGGGCAAAGTTGGACAATATCCTTGTTCTATAAATGAGTAGACTGAAGCTCAGGAAAGTTATTTCAAGCAGCCAGTCACTTAGCAAAGTGGGGATTGGCAAAAGGCTTCTTGAGATGTAATTTTTCTCTTTCTCACGCCAGTAGACAGCACTACTCCTGGTGTTGTCAAAAGGCATTCTGCATTCTCATATAAATTATAAATGTCTCAACACAATCAGTTGGGGGAGAATCCAGGTGCCCAAGGGAAGCTCCAGAGCCTTATGTACTCTTGCAGGTACCCCGGGAGCTCGGCAGTCCAAGAAATGACCATCCAACTCCTAGAATTGCTTCCCATTGCAGGGGGAGCATGGTTGTAGCAGTGATCATCCTATAGTTGCATTATCAACTGAATAATTCCAGTAAAAGGTATTGGTGGAAAAAACCTGCTTGCACCTCCTGGATTAGTTTCCTACAGACTGGTTAGGGAGATGCTACTTACATGACATTTATTTTATAAAAGATGGTGCTTTTTTTTAATCCATTACACTAACACGTTCCTGACGTTACTGCTTCCTGGATTCCCTTATGAAAGCCACAGGTTCTAATACTAATAAATTATTTTATGTTTGTACCCAAAGGTGACAATGATCTGTTTAGGGATCCTACTCTGCAAGCTGCCTTATCAGCACACGCTAACAGATGATTCTTACCCCTAAGAGTGCTGTTGGGAAGTGTGTCCCTTTTACCGCATGTGTTCTGTGTCTTTGTATATAGAAGCAAGTAGCCAGACCCAGTTTGCAGGGTTTCTAGCCATTTTAGTGCGAAGTTCCACCACAATATAAAAATAAAAATGTGTACTGGCTGTATCTGTAAGGCTTACAACTCAACTGTAGTTCTTCCAGGATTCACCACTCACCTTTTCAACTCTAGAATACACTTAGGGCTGAGGAGTCTTGCTTGCTGGCACCAAAAAGTAAACTTTAATTAGCATAAAATATTCCAGATCTCTTCTATTTCTCTTTTTGCAGACTGAATTGGAGACATCATCAATCTTTTCTGATGCCTTTTCCCTTTTTTAAAATAATGTATTTTAAATTCATTTCTATTCAGAACAAAATTTAATTTGTACAGTGCATCTGTTTTATGTCTTATATACCATGGGCAGTTTCCTATGGTTACTTTTAAGTTGATTACGGAGGAAGCTTATTTTAAAAAGGAAAGATGGGAACAGGGATTGACTGATGTAACAAGGAAAAAGGCTAGGTACCCACTAAAGATTTTTCTTCTTTGCATCATTGTTAACGTGTAATTTGCTCATCTCTGTTTCTTCAAAGTTCAGGCAAATGATATTGCAGCTGGTTTGGAATGGTTTCATAGGAAAGCAAATACCTTTAAATTCAAAGGTTGTATCTCTTGAATACTACAGACCTAAAACACTCCAACATCTTCTCATGCTACGTCAGTGGAAAGCAGAAGGAAAAATTCCTAAATAATTAATCTCCCACTTTCAGCTGGAATTAGCTGAATCTATATGGCACCTTTACCTTTTTGTACATAATTAATATATTTCCTTAACTCCAAATGCATTATCCTAAGGAAGGAAAGATTCTTTTTTTTTTTTTTTACAAAGAGCTTTTTAAATCCACGTCTCTTCCTTCTGGCATCCTTTCACCTCCATTCCTGAAGCACTGAGGCAAAATGTGAACAAACCTCATTCATAATTAAGTCTTTCCTACCTCTTAAATATTCCAAGTCCCAGACAGTGAATTAGCTACGTGGATTTCATTGATGTTAACATGAAATATGAGGCTAAATGCCTGCAAATAGCTCTGAACATATAATGGGTTATGTTTGGGCTCATTAACTTTTTTCCGTTTAACAACCTGATAAATGTGAAGCAAAATACAAGAGAGAGGAGATGTAGATGGAGACAGAGCAGCCACAAGATAGAGGCAGAACAGTATTGTATAGATGTAAATTCTGATAATAGAGAGGGACTAGGACCATCAGCTGGAATCTAAAGCCTAGAGCTGACTTGCGTTCCTCAAAGGTTTCCATACTCTGCCAAATTTCCTTTTACAACCAGGTGACCTATCACCTGGACAAGGGAGAAGAGATTGTTGGCATATATCTTGACTTCAAAAAAGCCTTTGATCTGTTATCCCACGATCACCTCTTGGCAAAACCGGCCAATTGTGGCCTCGGGTCCACCATGATCCCCTGGCTGGCAAATTGGCTCTGTGGTCGGACCCAGAGGGTGGTAACTGACGGAAGTCAATTGTCGCGGTGCCCTGTGACCAGTGGGGTCCCCCAAGGCTCTGTCCTTGGACTCATATTGTTCAACATCTTCATTAACAATGTGGACATTGGAATCAGAAGCGGACTGGCCAAACTCCAAACTCTGGGGCAAAGCATCCACACCTGAGGACAGGAGGGTGATCCAGGCTGACCTGGACAGGCTCAGGAAATGGGTGGACGAGAACCTGATGGTGTTTAACACCGAAAAATGCAAGGTTCTCCACCTTGGGAAGAAAAACCTGCAGGATCCTTATAGGCTTGGCAGTGCAAAAAGAGTCTTGGAGGTCATCATTGACCACAAGATGAACATGAGCCTTTAATATGATGCTGCGGCTAGTAAAACGAGCAAAATGCTGGCTTGCATTCATAGATGCTTCTCAGGCAAATCCCAGGACGTCATTCTCCCATTGTACTCGGCCTTGGTGAGGCCGCAGCTGGAGTACTGCATCCAGTTTTGGGCTCCACAATTCAAAAAGGATGTGGAGAAGCTTGAGAGAGTCCAGAGAAGAGCCACGCGCATGATCAGAGGTCAGGAAAACAGACCTTACAATGATAGGCTGAGAGCTATGGGGCTCTTTAGCCTGGAAAAGCGCAGGCTCAGGCCATGATCTGGTGGCCACCTATAAGTTTATCAGGGGTGACCACCAGTATCTGGGGGAACATTTGTTCACCAGAGCACCCCAAGGGATGACGAGGTTGAATGGTTATAAACTACTGCAAAACCGTTTCAGGCTGGACATAGGGGAGAATTTCTTTACTGTCCGAGCCCCCTAGGTCTGGAACAGCCTGCCATCAGAGGTGGTTCAAGCACCTTCATTGAACACCTTCAAGAGAAAATTGGATGCTTATCTTGCTGGGATCCTGTGACCCCAGCTGACTTCCTGCCCTTCGGGCCGGGGGCTGGACTCAGTGATTTTCCGAGGTCCCTTCCAGCCCTAATGTCTATGAAATCTATGAAAGTTAGGTATTTTCTCAACCACATGAGAATGAGGATTGCTTGCTCATTTGCTGTGTTTGTTTTATGCAGTGTCCAATTTCTCCATTGTGTATGAAAATGGCACCTCTAGGGGTGGGTGACTAGGGTACAAGCCTAGGGCGCTGACATTGAGGGGATGAGAATGGCAGCCACTGCCACTAGCTGGTCCACCACCCCCCAGAGCAGATGCTTCCTTTTACAACTCTGCTGTATGGTAGTAGGATTCCTCTGCTCTTTGTCTTTCAAGAATTATCCACTTGTTCTTTTCCTGACATGTTCCTAAAATTATACAGGAAAAAGTTTCTCTGGGCCCATCTTGTCTCCCTAGTTTGGTTGTTGGGTGGGGGAGAGAGTGGGGATCAGGTATCTATACGCTTTTGGCAGTACAGTAACTGATACATTTGCTAATGGGCATTGTGCGTTCTCTTCAGCTCTACAGCATGATGCCTTTTATACCTTGGGATAATCCCTTTGTAGCCTTCCCTGTCCAAAAATTTTTGATCATCTTATATACATAGAAGTCCTTGTGGCAGGTGCTGTTCAGGAACCATAGCTGTCACTTTTTTCTGATAGTCATGATTGATTGTCTTGATGTTGTTAGAGAGGCAACATAGTTAATGCAGATCTATAGAGAGGAAGGGCTGGGTAGAGCTTAGGACTTGGGAAACCTGCTTCATTTCTGTGCTCTGCTACAGAGTTCATGATGAGCTTGCAGAAGTGCCTTAATAACTTGGGATAGGTCTACATCATGTTCCCAGCATGTCCGAGTGGGGATATTCCTGAGCAGCCTCCTCCTACCCGCTTCTACTTGCACATGCTAACCCCAGAGATGTGGTGCCATGGCTATAGGGGTTTCCCTCTCTGTGGC